CGAGGCCAAGGTTGCTCGCGTCAGTGCGGACTTCTGTGTCTGCTTCGGTGTCGAAGTGACCTAGGATCGGTGGCGTTTGTAGGCGTTGTTGAAGGTCGCGAAAAGCGCTGTATTGTTTGGGACCCCAGACGAAGGCGACGTCATCCTTGACGAGTTGTTGTAGAGGGTCGGCGATTTTCGAAAAGTTTGGCACGAAGCGGCGGTAATAAGCACAAAGTCCAAGAAAGCGGCGTACATCATGCTTTGTTTTCGGTATTGGGAACAAAGCAACTGCCATAGCCTTGTCAGGATCGGGGCCAACACCACTGCTGCTGACAATGTGGCCAAGGAATTTCAGTTCCTCATATCCTAAACAACACTTTTCCGGTTTCAGAGAGAGGCCGGCAGTGCGAATAGCCAGAATAACCGCCTCAAGCCGCTCAATGTGCTGTTCAAAAGTTGTAGAAAAAATGACTACGTCGTCTAAATACACTAAACAAGAGTACCACTTCAAGCCACATAAAACTGTGTCCATCATTCGTTGGAACGTAGCTGGAGCGGAGCACAGGCCAAAAGGGAGTACTTTAAATTCATAGAGACCGTCCGGTGTAATAAACGCTGTTTTTTCTCGGTCCCGTTCATCTACTTCAATCTGCCAATATCCGCTGGAAGAGATCCATGGAAGAGAAGTAACGGGCGTGTCGCAGGCGATCCAAGGAGTCATCGATACGAGGAAGAGGATATACGTCTTTTTTCGTTATCTTGTTCAGTTTGCGGTAGTCGACGCAGAATCGTAATGAACCATCTTTCTTTTTAACCAGAACAACTGGTGACGCCCAAGGACTAGTCGATGGTTGAATTACGTCGTCGTCGAGCATTTGTTTTACTTGATGACGTATAGCATCTTGCTCCTTCTGCGACACGCGGTAAGCATGTTGGCGCACGGGTTGCACGTTGGGCTCAGTGATAATTCTGTGCTTGATTAAAGGAGTCTGCCGGACTTTCGAAGTAGTGGCAAAACAGTCACTAAAGGATGAGAGGAGACTGAGGAGCCTTGCCCTCTTAGGTTCTTCCAACTGGCGATTGACGTTGAGGTGACTAGTCACGTCAGTATCGCAGCTGTTCTCAGTCGAGATCGTCGTAATCAAAGGGAAGGCGTCCAAATCATCCAATGCCTCCAAGTAAGCTATGGTTGTGCGTTTCGCAAAATGCCTGTGTTCTCCACTGAAGTTCGTAACTAAAACCATAGTCTGGCCATTTCGCAGTTGAATGAGGCTTCGAGCAATTGCCACTTCCCTATCAAGCAATAACGTCAGGTTACTTTCGGCGATGCCCGTAATCGACTGCTCCCGTGGACACTCAACAAGCACGAAGATACTACTGCGAGGTGGCAACGTGACGCAATCATCGACTACGCGTAAGGCCACGCCACGATGTTCGTTCTCGATGTCGGAATCTGGAGAAACACAGTTAACAAAACTGACGAACAAATCACGCAGATTAATTATCGCTCCATACTCTTGCAGAAAATCCATGCCCAAAATGACCGGCCGAGAACAATTGGGCAGTACAAGGAATGATGCTACAAAAGCCGACGCACAAATCTCAAGCCTGGCGGTGCACCTTCCTATTGGGGATACGAGGTGTCCTCCAGCGGTGATTAGTTGAGGGCCGTCCCACGTTGTCAGCACCTTGTGTAGACGGGTGACAATGAAGCACTCATCACCGAGTAATCAGCTCCCGTGTCGACAAGCGCGGTCACCGGATAACAGTCGACGGAAACAGTAATGGCAGCGGACGTTCTGTTGGCGGTTTCACAAACAGGCTTTAACGGCACGTCGTAAGGCAGCGGCGGAGGGTATTTGTCGGTTCGCGTGACAGCGGCCTCACCTCCGGAGGTCGCCGTTTTCAGTTTCCCCGGCGTGGGCTTGCGCCACTGACACCAGGGGACCCAAAGGCGGGTCGGGCGCGGTGCGTTGATGTGAGGACGGCGGTGATAGTGACCGTGACTGTCGTCGCGGCGGGACAGGGGCGTGATGACTACCCTCCAAGTAATCCGCAATTTCCTGTGGGCGCTCACCATAGCGTGGACAACGAGCATCTGGGTGGAATCCGCGTAGGCCTATTCGTCGGTAGTAATAGTCGCGGTACATGTGTCCAACTTCGCCACAATGGTAGCACAAAGGACGATTGTCGGGTGCACGCCAGACGGTGGACTTCCGCGGGCCAGGACGAAAATCGGTCTGAGAAGGCAGGCGACGGGCTGGACTTTGAAAGCGTCTGGCGGTCCCGGTAGGTGCATGAACAAAATGTGCCGTCGGTGGCGTAGTGACGCGTAGGGCATCCGCGTAGGAAAGCGTGGAAGGTTCGACTTGCGATGGTGGTGCAGAGTGAAGGAACTGCCTGATTTCGTTCCGAACGACGTCCGTAAGAGCAGCGCTACTGGGAGGGGACGCTGCATAAAATTTCCGAAGTTCTTCTCGTACAACTTGCCGTACAAGTTCTGTGAGGACCTCCCTGTTATCACCTCCTGGTATAAGCGAGCAAGCAGCGGACATGGCCGTCTGACGCTCATACTGCGACACCCGCTGCCGAAGCATGCGCTCCCAATTGTGGCCTCACGTATGAACTCGGACACGGTCGTAGGAGGGTTGCGCACAAGGCCCGCAAAAAGTTGCTCCTTTACGCCTCGCATTAGCAGGCGCACTTTCTTGTCTTCTGGCATGTGGGGGTCAGCCCGTCGAAACAATCGCGACATTTCTTCGACAAACATGGCGACGCTCTCGTTCGGCATTTGAAATCGCGAAGAGAGTGCCTGCTCCGCTCTCTCTTTCCGTTCGGGGTTACTGAACGCCTCGCGAAGCTGCCGATGGAACTCCTGCCAACTTGTGAATGAGGTTTCGTGGTTCTCATACCTACACTCTTGCCGCGTCTAAGAGGGAGATATACACGTTCTTCAACTTACGGCGATTGTCCCAGTCGTTGATGGCAGCGACCCGGTCGAAATGGTCAAGCCAGTCTTCGACATCTTCACTGGCATCCCCGTGGAATGGGTTGGGTGTGCGAGGCGTGTTGATGACACAGGGTACGCTAGCGAGTGGGTCATGCTCGGTTTGGGTTGCGGATGTGGCAAACATTGTCCTCACGGAACTTGCCAAGGGGCCGTACTGTGGTGGTAGTCCTTGAAGGCGGCGGCTGCTTCGATAGATATCAGCAGATCCTGGTGCACTGGCGGTGGTTGCTTCTGGTTCAGGACCAGCAGGCATAAGACGTTGCAGTACAGTACCCAGCACTTCCACCAGTCTGTCGCGAGAGGAAACGATAGGCAGGAACTCGAAGTGGAGGACTGTTTACTCAGCCAGAGCTGCCATTGACTTCTTCGCTCTCGTCTTCTGCCACCAACACTGCTTGGCAATATGGTGCAAAAAACAAAAAAACGAGTCCCTAAGTATACACTTCTTTCCTTAATTAGTTAACGAGGGTCTCGTACTGGCAGACTTACTGCCTTTAGGTTGTATACGAGGGACCATTGGTCAGATGCCCAGTCGTAATAAGTTCACGTGCTACGTTACGCTAAATAGGCTAAAAAAAGTGTGCTACACTCGCTGCCATGACTTCTCGTGGCTCTGACTGACACTCCCACGTTTAGAGAGAGAGAGAGAAATAAATAAAAGAAAAAGACAGGGAGGTTAACCTAGACGAACTGGTTTAATTCACATATAAACCGAATAAAGTGTCTGGGGGGATAGCTGTCGTGGTAGCTCAGGGGTAGAGCATCGAACGCGTCATTCGAAGGTCGCAGGTTCGGATCCTGCCCACGGCAAGTTATCTTTTCACCCACTTTTCCTCATATTTACATTACAACTCGGTCTAATAGCTTCCCCTATACTTTCCTTGGCATTATTGTCTGTTAGATCTCATTAGGATTGTGTAAAGCACAGAAAAACGAGCCCTTAAGTATACACTTCTTTCCCTATATATATATATATATATATATATATATATATATATATATATATATATGCTACACGTGTTTCTGCTCAAGTTATGTACTTGCGGTATTTTTATCGTTGCAATGTAATCGCTAAGCCCTTTTCTTAACACTTGACAAATCATAATTTATTATTCTTCGTTGGTGACTTAAAGCGATGTTCAATATTCTTGTCTTACTCATCAAAACTATTCGGTTTGTACTAAATACATGTTCATATTCAAAAAGATGACATCGTTGTTCAAATGTCATACAATTATCTGCCAAAATGAAATAATGTCAGAGGTCTAATTCGTCGTTTCAAGAGTATGCGGAGCCACCTAGCAGCGTGTAATATGCTAGACTCTTACTTCCTGTAGTATTTGTACGTATGTTAATTCATTGCCGTTATGCTACTATTTATTGTAAATTTTCAGGGGCATTCGTAGTTGCATGCTTTCTGTACCATCAAGTTATAAATAACAGGAGTATAGGTGCACACCATGACAGCCATCTTGCACCCATGTGTTTTTCCCGCATGAACCATAGAGCTTCCTAAAAAACTAGAAGGTAATTTGGCATTGCGATCATTCAGCGACCAAGAGAATGATAGGTAGTACACGGATTTCTCTAGTCTTCGTACTTGCGGGTGGCAAATCGTACTTTTGGCTTCATTTGTTGCCATGTTGCGGTTTGGTTTAAAAAAAGAAAACTAACCCTTTTGAACTTTGTGACTTAACTTGAAAGGGTACCCCTAAAAGTCTAAAGTGGTGAAGCACAAGCGCTGAGCATTTGCTGATTTTTGTTTGGTGAGAAAACAGCCCAAGCAACATGAACACACAGGGAGCCAGAAGTACAAAGATAATACAATTACGTGCACTCTCCATCATTCTCATCCTTGCTGAAGCGGCTTGCGAGTAAGCTGCCTTAAGCACTAGCGTCAAATTTCCCTTGAGTCAATCTTTAGAAAACTCTATGATATGCACAACTTCAAATTGATTGATGAAAACAGCTGTAGTTGAAGCTTGGTTATTATTTTTTCTCGTTACAGGTGACGATTTGAATATGGATTGGGGTACGTCGAAGATCCGCTGTATTCTACGTGCTGGTCCTCGTATTCTATGAAAAAAGTTGCCAGGTGCAGCAATAACTAAGTGATGGTCGGCTACCGTACGGCTCTTTAGGTTAAAAGTCAGCGTGGTGTTTGTTTCTATGGAACAGCGTTCCAACCGTATTTTTAGTTGACAATCAGTGGTGTGTGTGTGTGTGTGTGTGTGTGTGTGTGTGTGTGTGTGTGTGTGTGTGTGTGTGTGTGTGTGTGTGTGTGTGTGTGTGTGTGTGTGTGTGTGTGTGTGTGTGCGCGCTCTACTCTGCCAACATTGAGTAGTGCTATTGAAGCTTAACTTAGACGGAGCCAACCTTGCGCCCAAAAACCTGTTTCACCCAATGGTACCTGAACGCCTCCCTAGTATTCTCGGGGCTTTTGCTCACACACGTGACCCCCAAAATAGCACTGCCAAAGCTGTGATGTCGACTTTCGTGCTCCCATGCAGCAGAAAAAAAGGAAGAGATCTTCCTGCCCGTTGAACAGGTGTTATATAAAGGCGGCTTTGTGGAAGTCATCGGCGTATTTCAAAGCGAACGAAAGAGACTGAATGTACGCAGACTTCTTTGTCCATACTAAAGCAAACGCAGGCAGTGAATCAAAGAGACGGAGAAAGAACGAGCACCATGCCTCGATAAACCCGATTGTATAGATACTATTATAGATCCTTTATTTTACCCCACGATGATGAGGAAGGGTGGAAGGAAAGGCGGAATATTATTTTGCCTAGCTCCAGCACCCCAAATGTTTACTTTAGAACGTTTGCAACAAACTGCGCTGCACACATAAACATTAAAGAAAAGCTTTCAGTCTTGCAATAATATGTAGGCCCAATAATTAACAATGTGATTGAGCGAGGCAAATAAATGGCAAAAAAGAGTTATGCCCCTGAAACACGGGCACCCTGAAGTCCTTTAGACAAGGGGACATCTTTCAGAAAGGCGTTCCGGCGCAGTGACACACGACAAAAGAGTAACTCCTTTCCAGCAAAGATCCTTTTCGCAAGAGCAGATCCCGCATCTACTTTTCTGGCAGGAAGGGGGTACTCTCGCATACAGTGTGCATAATTTATCGATAGAAGAAAACGTGTCGCAACACTGCGGTGCCCTGCCAGTATTTTTTTGCGCTGAGAAAATGTTTTCAGTTTCAGCAGCAGTGCGATTTGTTGAAAAGTGAAGGCCTATAGTCGGCCCACACTCCAAAACGCCTGCATTACGTCAGTAGCGCGATCATGTTAGGGTTGGCAGCGGCAGTTGCTGTGTCGGCGACGTAGTATCTTGTAACAATAAAGTCGGCTCAGTCGGTGAAGAAAAAACCGCGCGTCCAGTGGACTGAAAAGGAGACCTGGGCTCTGATAAAGCTATGGGAGGACCATTTGGACGCCTTGCGAGGGCAAAAGCACAACGGTGGAGTGTACCAGGCGATTGCCGAGAGCCTCACCGACGCCGGTATTCCCCGTACACGGGCGCAAGTTCACAGCGAAATTGACAACTTGAGACAGACATTCAGGTTTCGGAAAAGCTTTATCTCTGTCTCTGCTCTGAGACACCGCAGGACCACAATGAAACGCGGCACGCCGTCACTGACCCAGCTGGACTGAGCCATGTAAAAAGCACGTCGAAAAAAACAAAAACAGCAAAACACCGACTGTTCATAGTAGCCAGACGAACTTTAGTTGCTCCTAAAAACGCAAAAAGCGAAAGAAAATTACAGGTATGCGCATTATAAGCCACCAGACAATAAAAAAAACGATTTTGTGCTCCGGCGTCGCTGAATGTGATGTACATGCGCAGATTATTTTTAATATTTCCAATCTTGCTGCTTACACAAACAGCGCCATTTTTTCTGCAGCGTTCTTCTGAGGCACCGCCTAAAGCAGTAGTCCGGTGCCGTGTGTCATCAGCGCCACTCCTTTCTGCAAATGGTCCCCTTAGGCGACAAAAGGGGTTTACTTTAAAGTACTTTACTTTTGCCCGTGTGTCACAGGTATAAACTGAGAAAGAAACACAATCACAAATAACAATACACTGCCTTTTCTCAAAACATATAAAGTTATACATCAACACACCCATCACACACAAAAAATGCACACTCGGAACTAGAGAATCTAGTGTGATTTCAACAGCTGAAAAAATAGGAAAAAATTGAGACAAAACAAGAAAAACAAGGCAATATGCTTTGGATATATAAAGAAGCATAGCCTTAAAGCTCATTACATATTATGTCGAAACAAGCACAAAAGTGTGATTTATTTGCTAGGCAAATGAGACAAAAATAGCTGTTCAACACTTGAGAAGAAATTGTGCAGTTATTTTGTGTGTGACCTTTCTGGTGCACTCGTTTTGCAACTACACAAGTGTGAAAGCTTGTGAAGCTTATGTTTTAGCATTTGTGTTCCGTAATGAGAGCTACATTGTAGTACTGTCTAATTCTCTGCATAGGAAATTAATATACCTGTATCCTCTTTTCTGAGCGAAATAAAGGAGCTAAAAGTGGTCATTATTTTTATTTCTAGTTTGTATGCTATGAAAAGTGGGTAAGAATACATACACAAAATTTGTAGGATGTATGATGTTTACAAAAAAGGAATGGTGAGAAACGATTGAAAGCCACGTTATGTATGTGCCACAAAATTTTTTTTTTCAGAAGTGAAGGTAGTATTTGTAATTTTGTAAAAGTAGTAGCCCCACACAAGATGACAGTATGGTACGCGTGCGTAAAACAGCGAGTTATAGGTGCGGAGTTTAACATTTGTGGGAAGACTTTGTCTGTTAAATTAAATTATCTCTACAATGCTAAATAGTTTTTGCTAGGTAGATAGTGTAATCCTGAGACGTTGTTTCCGAAAAAAATTACTCCAAGCATCCTAAATGATTGAACTTTTTTTGCGCCAATAGGTAAAAAAGCTGGATCGATAACCGAATCTCTGTTTTTTAGCCGGAAAATTACAGCTTTAGTTTCAGTGGTCTATATCTTTACTGCATTGTAATTGGTCCACTTACCCAGCGTCAGTAATGTTTCGTTTGCTCTATCCAATATATTGTATAATACTGCACTGGAAAATAGAGAGTGGTGTCTTCTGTGTAAATTACAAATTAGGAGGTTTTATCAATATTCACATTGTCTATAATATACAGAGTAAACAGAAATAGACCAAGGATCGTTCCTTATGAAACACCCGACGAAATTGCATTTATGTCGACAGAATGGCTACTTTATTTACAAATTGGTGTCTGCAACCTAAATGAGAGCTGAGGAAGCTAAACAATTTAACTAATAAGTGGTCGTCGTTAGCATTTTTGCAGAGACTGCCAATGAGATATATCCTATTGCAGGCTGCGTGCGCAAGCCTGTTGCGGATACCCAACTAACTTTGTCTAATAAGATGAATTTACATATTCTTTTGCACATACCTGCATACCCGGGCTAAGAAAAATCAATTTTCTTTTATCAAGGTAGTGTGCAATCTCATCGTAAAACATTTTGCACTTATTACAGTCATTTCACTTCAATGCTTTAATGTCGGTTTCTAAGGGTTGCTGTTTCGTAATGTGCGGTCGATTACTTTTAAACCGATGTACAAGCCACACTTCTCTTTTATATCAATATGCAAGTTTGTCATCACGAGCATACGATTCAATTGAAGAAGCTTGCGAAAGAGCACTAGAATCCTTCAGTAAACCTAAATATGAAAATAGCCAGCCCCAAATAAGCACATAACAGACAAGAACATATCATCGGATTTCAACTGAAGAGCTACAAAACCACACTTCATGTGAAAATGAATATTTTGTTCAATATACACTTTATTGGCCTGTGCACTACAATTCATTGAACAAGACTCCGAAGGGTTTATTTTCACCGAAATGCCTGCAGCCGTCACGCAACCGAGTCGTTTACGACGTCCTTGAATACAACGTTCATGTTTAAGCGATTACATTTAATACTTTATTTCTGATAAATATTGAGTGTTGTTTTTTTTGCCCCTAACATTCGCAATGTGACACGTAGAAGACTTCTGAATAAGTCTCCCACTTTATTGATATTTTTAATTGTTTGCCCGATCACTGGTCATCAACGAAATTTTCACGGTCTGAACGTGAACGGGCACTCTATTTTCTTACTACGTGGTCCTGACCCAGGGATAAATGTTGACCTGTTTAACACCTACTGCCAGAAGTAATCAGATAACGCTTCGCTGCTCCTCAGTCATTCAATCGGGCAGCGTGAACGCCATTCTATACTGACACCCTATCTCCTCAATTGAACAGTTTCTTTATAAAAAACTCTGTACACTCCTGTGCCTTCAGAGTGCTCCGAAACGCTCCGTTTCACAACTTGATATCCATTTGCATCTCTAAAGTCTCACTACTTTATTCAATAGTGGCTTAGATATTTCATTGATTGAATAATTTGTGAGGTTTACGTCCCGAATCCACCATATAATTATGAGAGACGCTGTAGTGGAGGGCTCCGGAAATTTCAACCACCTTGGGTTCTTTAACGTGCACCCAAATCTGAGCACACGGGCCTTTCCTCCTCCATCAAAAATGCAGCCACCGCAGCCAAGATAGCGGCTTAGATATCTATACTAATGGTTGGTTGTTTACTACTTTCTACCATTTCATTTGAGCAACCTTGAAAATAGCAAGCCTCAGGTGCGTTAGACCCTTACTATTTATCCTTCAAGTGACTACATTGTCTTGCTATTTGCCCACAGACTTTTTTTGCTTGCTCACTTTATCGTGGGTTGCCAAACAGTCTTCGAACTATGACACCCTAGTCTGTCAAACGTCCTCTAATTTCATGCATTTCCACTTTGTTATTAATACTCCACCTCCAACGTCGAACAGAAGCCTGCTTCTGTTTCTCACGCTAGCAGGTGTATAAGTATAGATATCATCATTAGCCTGAGCCTGATTACGTTCACTTCAAGACAAAGGGCTCTGCCATGATCTTCTAGACAACGTGGTCATGTGCTTGCTGCTGCTACTTTATACCAACAAACTTTCTAATTTATTCTAACCACCTAAGTTTGTCTCCCCATTTCCCCATTACTCGATTGTCTTCTCTGGGACCTTTGAATCCAGACAGTCATATATATATATATATATATATATATATATATATATATATATATATATTCAAACTACAACTACTCGCTGGTAAAACACTTGTACACTTTGTATTTACATTTTCCAGAAATAAAAAGGCCAGTCGCTTGCTACATGAAGCCAGCTTACGGTGACTGCCACGGACATTTCACGCGTTATTTCTACAATGACTCAACCATCAAATGCAGAACCTTTGACTATAGTGGGTGTGGAGGAAACGGCAACAATTTTGATACACGAAGAAAATGCAGATATTTGTGTGGAGGTAAGTAAATTCACTGCTTTATACCTTCTAAATCCCATTGAAATATTGCCTAAATATTACTACGCCCAGGTACGCTATGTCAAATACATATTATAATACCTCCTTTGACGCGTCTCGTGGTACACTATCATTCCTAACAAGCCGGTGAGTGCGGTGTAAGTTCAGTCGTTATGTGGCAGTTGGAGACAGTGTTGGCTTTAGGAGTTCTGGGGATATCATAGCTCAAGACCGACGAAAAAATACGACGACCAGGAATACAGGAAACTTACCTTAAAAAGCATGAGCGCTACTTTTCAAACTAAAAAGATACTCCAGAAGAGTGGACCTTCTCGTCTAAATATTACAATTAGTTCCCATAGTTCGGAATGTTATGGAAAGCTGTAAGTATAGTGACAAGTTTGGCCATTTACAAAGTCAAACGACATAACTAATAATAGACAAATGTCATTCTAACAAATTATTGTGTTGGACGTCTTAACATATTTCATATGTTAAGTAGAGGAGTTTTATTCTCATAAAATATTGATGTTTTCATTTAATATCAGATTGTTCGCCGTCAAATAAAATTTGAAGAACAGTCTGTATTACATGTCCAAATCCACTATTCAAGCAGTGTAAAAATGTAAAACACAGTGAAAAATAAATTCAATACAGCTGTCAACTTATTCAAGCGTCTTCATAACGTTCATGTAGGAGGAGCAAGAGCATTGCAGAATTTACATAGAATAGTCAATTGTCAGTCCTTTAGCTCAAGATAAAAAAAAATATTGCATGAGCCCTACCTCAAGATCATTTAACCAGATACATCGCAGTAAGAATGAAGGTAGTGATTTAAAATATCGAATAAGTTTTTTTGTGAAAGAATGCTTTCCCTTTCCTAAGGCACTTCATATGTGTATTCATTAAATCGTCCTACAATTCTTACTCTAGGTTGCGTTCAGTGCCGATTTAAATCAAACTTTAGTTAGGTTTTTACACTGGGAAAAAACATATTTAGCTTGGACAGTTTTTAACAGTATGCAGGAGTTGTAAGTCCAAAAATGCATATTGTTGCTGTAACTGCTTTGTCTCAGGAGTGTGTGAAAAGGAATAATGTAGTGTCTACCTACTGTAGTTTATCACTTTTATTAGCTCATGTTCCGCGGTGTCCCATGTCATATTTGTGGATTCAATATGTTGCCGTCCCTACCCGCATGCTCTGTTAAATTAACCTGGGTTGTTGGGTGCTTGAACTTGCAGTGTAAATACCACAGGGAGTTTTCCACTGCTCAGCTAATTTTGACAACGTATCAACTCAATAATTTGTTTTGTAACTGGTGTCATGCGAATGTACCTCTAATAGTTGCCACAAGTCCGTTAAAAACACGCATGACACCTAGCTCTAGGAATCGCTATACCAGGAAAGTGAAACGTGGCTTCGCCGAGGTATTTAAGTGTTTATCTCACAATATTTCTTCAAAAGGACAAAGCAATGATTGCCTCAGCAACAAATTTTATATAAAGAACGGCAAGCAGCTTGAATCTTCCATTGCGCACCTCGTGGCGAAAGCCCATACAAGATTGGCCCACACAGCATGAGTGCCGAGAAACCACTGTCTCAGCTCGACACATGAAGCACGCTGCTCAAACAGAAAGACGAACGAAACGAACGTACAAGTATACACTAGACGAGCGCTAACCACTGCCACAATTGTTACTTCTTCGTATGTGAGCAGCGTGCTCCTTTCATGAACGCGGCCGCGGCAGCGAGCGACGTGAACTTCTTGGTCTCCAGAATCCTGAGTTATATCGGGTAAGCGCGCAAGCAGCACAGACGATGCCCCGTGGATGCGCGCGCTCAAATACACGCGAGTAACGTCCATCGTGAGCCTGTTACATCATTTCGGCCTTGATGACGAGAACGCGGTGAATTTGAGGAGCTTGGAGGTCCTACCAACGGTGTATGGTGCGTATCAATGGCTCGTCATTAGCAAGTTTCACAACGTACGTTCCGTAGCTTAGCAGATCGAGTGCTGCGCTGCAGTATAGGGAGTGACTGGTTAGACACCTACCTACGGAATTTTCCCTTTTCGTTTCTTCACTCTCTTAATATATATTACACTGCGTAATATGCGCGACAAATTTACGTCAACGCAGCAATAGTGGACCCGTCATAAAAAATGTTTGTTTTAAAAGATGTAGAAGGACTGCTCTTCTGCATCTCTGCATCATCTCTCCCACAGACCTGGCGGTATTTTTCTTTGAGCTAACCTAAAGTTGTATTTATTCTGTTGTTTCTTTTTTTCAGCTAAATACGACCCAGAGAAGGACCCGTGTCTGCGTCCGCCTGGCAACAGATGGTGCCTGAATGTGCCAAAATATGTGGGAATGTGGTATTTTGACAAGAAAACTGAAAAATGTGTCCGTTTTGATTATCGCGAATGTGCTTTGGTTCGAAATGTGTTTCCATCATGCGATAAGTGCAAGGAAGAATGTCAGCGTAAGTTTCCAGTCTGAAGGCTTTTTTTTTCTAAGAAATAAAAATAAGAAGGGTGTTGAGGACTTCAGAAGTACCAAGATACGAAATGTAGTGGATGAGGATATTGAGAACGTGTGTATGGGCTTGATTTATCATAGAAGACAAAAATTTTGACAGTCGTTATTAGGGTTGTTTCCTGCAAGCAGACACTAAGCTCTGATAGCCAGTTCAGTAAAGTCTGGCTTTAAAGATGTCTAAGTTAATTGCACGCTCCCTCAGTGTTGTTGAAGAGTTTACTTATATTTTTGTCATCTATGACGGTGCTGGTAAGGTCACATTAGACCGTACATCAGATTGCGCATAGTTGATTTCCCCAGACGCTGGTGTTATGGCTTCTTGTTTTTCGTAACCACGACCTGAACTTTGTCCACAGGAATTGTTCGAAATATCAGAGCAGAGAGTTTGATGAATTGGGAAAGCGGGACGTCTTTCGTGCCTTCGTTTATTTTACGTGCTATAGTTTCGCTCAACTTTGCTCTTAGCGTTAATTTAAACAAGCTCTACACAGCTTCATAGTAGTCTGCCCTTGACAATATCCGGAAGGCCTTGAGCGCCTTGGAAATAACGACACTAAAAAAAACAAATCTCTTTCCTTAGAGCTAAATACTCCTTTAACCATAAATTTATTTATCTGCTTTAAATAATAACTACCTTTTCTACGCCACCTGGAGCCTATATTCACTGTTGACGAAAATGATGACACCTAAAAGAATTGCAATGGCAGCCGGAGGCTAACGAAAGAGCACATGAGGAATTCTCGTTGATTTTTTTTCAACACCGACGAATCGTATTCTTCTAACGGAGTTGAACGTGACCCTGCGTGAATTCACTCATGCCACCCATCCGCTTTACGCTGGTTTGATCGGATACATATATATCAATTCAACATACATTCGGTCCAAGCAAAGCATAGGTGACATTTGAGGCACCACTGGAAGGCTATTGAAGTGGAACTTGTCTGCTGAGGGAGTGCTTTTTTTCGCAAACGATTGATAGAAGGTTCCTTCATTGTTACTATATCAGGCAGCGTCCTCACATTACTTACTGAGTCATTCATAAAACTTAGATTTATATGAAAGTAGAAGAATGGGAAGAACCTGTAAAAGCTTATTACCTTATGTTGGCTCCTTGTGCCAGAAACGCCGGTACTTTACCGAGGCTTTTCCATCAAACGTTTACGAAATTCTTAAAAACCGGGTAAATGTAATATTCATTTGATTCTTTTACATTTATTTTTATATAGCCACAGGCATTTACGTCCGCTAAAGGCGTACCTTAGCACTGCAGTTTCATTAGGGTCAATTAGTTAAGTTTGTCTTAGTAGAGCTAGGTGGTTATTTTAACTAGTAAAATTGAAGTTATTCATTTGAAGAAACCATTATAGCTGTGAGGTGCAAGAAAGATTACCTGTAGTAATTAGTCAGATGCATTGAGTTGAGTGAAAGTGAAGAACAAAAGCTTAAGTGGAGTACCTATGAGTGCAGTAACAAGACGAGCAGAACGACGTCACGGCTCTGGTCAAAAATTACAAAGGTGTATTTGTTTTGAATAGGTTTGTGCAATACGCTTGACATAATAGCCAGAGCTGCTGACGTATCCACTCAAAGTCGGTTGATGGTTCATATAATTGCCCTTTCATCTAATTGATATCTCAGAAAGATATCAGTTACACTCACCCAACTATCAGTTTATGGTTTTGAAGTTGAATATGGCGGAATTGTGATTACTTCACAATTATTGCTAAACGCCGTCTTATCGGAATCTCCAGGCTCCCATAGATTTTTCTCATGAGCGACTTCAATTCATTTATTTGGCATAAAAACCTTGCTCCACTAACTTAAAAGTTAATTACCCTAAATTTTCAATTGTTTCCGAACTGATGGTGTAAGCCATATTACAATGCTTTCCGCTTTAAAAGTAATTCTCAGGTAATAGTACACAAGTCAGAATGTCTTGATTTGTGAGTATCTGGTAAGCCAATATACCATTTGAAAGATTATGAAAATCCTTTGAGCTAATGTTCTACATGAAATACGATACTTAGTCAATAAAAATTTTCACTGACTATCTTCCGAGTACCTCGGTATGAAACACATTCTGCTAGGCATTGTTTTTAAGTGACGTTGATAGACTGACCATCAAAACAATGCTGAAATGTAAAACAAGGGCAGATGTTGGAAGGCACTTACAGCATGCAGTCTATAGTTTTAGGTGACCAAAAAGTTGGCTTTTCTGAACACGACGTTGCTTTCTATTACACCGTGTTGTGGCGCAATTATTAAAGGACGCGGTAATGCACAATATATGCTAACTAAAGGGGTACTGATACAAAA